TTTTGTTCATGGCAGCTAATTGTGTCCAAATTTTAAGTACCAGTCCCCAGCCTACGCCACAGACCAGACTTAACATCTAGCCGGGTTTCTTTCGACTGCATACACAGCTCCCAGGGACTAGAGGATTGTGCAGTTCTTAGCATTATCTTTATTACTTACGAGACGCAACTGGAACAAGCACTGAAGTGAGCCTAAAGATCCTTTTACATTGTGGTAGGGTGATACCCCGATCTCCCTTGACTTGTTTACTCTTATGCGCCGCCCAGTCTTTTGGAGCCGAACATGTTCTTTTGCCGCTACGCCATCGTATACCAAAGGCGTCTCGATGTCGTGGACAAATCGACATTTTAATATGGTTATCATCGACTTCGAAAATCCCTGAAACAAAATGTATAAAGAAGCCGCAGTGAATTCATGTAGCAATCCTGTGGTAATCGCAAAATGTGTTAGCTGTTAGTATCAAAAGTTAGTAAGTCAAATTCCGGAACTACGTTGCTGCCTTTGAGAGGTCTTTCGAGTTGCCGTGCCACGCATAAACAAATTAATATTAATGAATAAAATAAAATAAAACGAATGACATATAATAACAAGCAGTGAAAGTGCATCAACTTGATCAACTCATCGGAAAGGCTTTATTTATTTACAGTGCAAATCAGTTACCTGCTCTTGCGAGAAGAAGATCTGCTTCCGTTTTCAAGGACGAATCAAAGCAGTCATATTGGTTTAAGTGAGACTTGACGTCTTTTGTGCATTTGTCTAGTGCTACACACGTTGCATCAGCAGGATTTGAAGGGCTAGCTCCACAGGGCCCTCCAACAAACGTAGAATATCCACACGATGCCATACGTCAACGAGTGTTGGCTTCAACTCGGAAGCAAGGTGGCTTTGGTACTGGCTCTAAGAATTAGTCAACTATCACACGTTTACTTTGAAAAAATTTTTTAGGGTGGAGTTTTTCTTATCTGATTTATCTGAAAGCATTTTTAGACTTAAAGTAAATATTTCAAGATCAGCAGACGAGATAACCCAAGATAGCAGACAACAACCTCGTTCCCAGGTTCTCTCTCCTGCTCTTCGAGCAGACAGCACATGTGGTATCTGGTCCTGGTGCTATATATTTTTTGCGTTTCTAAAGTTTCGCAATCAGTCCGTTTTACTTTTGATCAGCCCCCTGATTTATCATTTTCAATTTGATCATTGTTTAGTTTCAGGGAGGGTTTATTGCATTGTGCAGCAAAAAAATCTGACTTACCCCACACCCATACAACTGACATTCCTCTCCCAAGTCCCCACAGCTGTGTGTAACGCATTGTCCTATTGCTCCGCAACGGATGTGAAGAGAACGTGTATTTAGCGGTTTTATTTCCAATACCTCTTCAGTTTTTGACAGATAAGTAATATATTTAGTCATATATCCTTATGTAAGCTGACGTGGGCTAAATTGTTCTTTTTAAATGAGCAATGGATAGTCAGTATTGAAACGTGTTGATCTGTGCCGTTCACGGCTGTTAATTCATTGAACAGCAAACGGATTTTGACTGTTAACGGGTTCATTTAAGTAAAAAAAACTGGCGAAACAGATGCAGATAGGTCGAAAATAATAAGTATTGTTCCGTTTGAAAGAGATTTGGGGGATTTTGGCCATTCTTTGCCCCAAAGAGCATTTTTGTTGATTTAACACCTTGGAATACCGTGACAAAAGTGGCGTGAATTTGACCTCAAGGGCAACTTTCATTTGGCGCTGGAATATTTTCCCCGTTGGATTGCCCAAAAATTTTATTGCATTAATTTGAGGAAGACACCTTGCTCTTTCTATCTGTAGGAAAGTTATGCCTCAAAGCCGTATACCAAGAAGTGATTTTTGAGTCCGAATTTTGTCAATATTTTGTCTGTCAAAAATAAGCAAATTAGGTAAAATAATTAAAAATCTGAAAAATATCCAGTTTGTTGTCGAATAGGAAAATTTCACATTGAAAATATTATTTAATTTGCACTCTTACTATAAAGGTTTTGAGAAGCAGAGTTTGTTTCTTCTTTAATTTTTAAATGATTTTTAAGTAATGCACTGCCTTTAGCCGGTGAAACCTAACATGTGAGCCCCCGAACCGACTCGGTCGCCGCACGCGTAAAAGAAAAATCTAATCGAACTGAAAGTTATTTTTCTAGAAATAGTTTACCTAGAGCTATATTCTGACAAAGTTTGGGGATTTTCGATTTTTTCATTTTGCACGCCCCCAGGCGATATTTACGGACGGCCGCTCTTAAGCTTCCTAATAAGACCGTAAAGTAACGACGCGATAATCATTAATAGAACTCAAGAACTATTCACCTTCACCTCAAAACTACAGTACAACCTACAGTACAACTACAGTGCAACCTTTTGTCAGGTTTGGCAAGACCCAACAGTTCTTTGTTTCTCTCGGCCATTTTAGTTATAGTAAGGTGAAATGTATGTAACTACAATGCACCTGAAGTTCGACCATAAACGTGCTCTACCCTTTGTAAATGTTGTCTGAAGCTCCCATTCTGTAAACCATGCAGTGACAACTATTTCAAACACTATTGGGGAATAACTCCTAACAGTAGAGTACTACCTATAGAGTGTTTTCACTCACGTGGCCAGCATATGTACAAATTTATTGGAACAAAAGAAAGCGTTTGCATAAGAAAAGAGTTCAACTCCCGGAGGATTGGTTTGGGACACCAACATGGCCGCCGTTTCATTGTTTTGGGACACCAATATGGCTGCCGTGACGTCATGTGAAAACACTCTATCTTATTAAAACCGTACCAGAAAGGACTGACAAATCCATATACTAATAAAATATGAATGTGAGGTAAATTTGAGCCTTTCATTTGTTCTCTATTATTTCTAATGATAATACCTGGTAAAAACCGCGTCCAAAACTCCAACTTTCGCCTCCTCGGCTGGAACATAAGAGCCAGTCTGGGCCAGAATTACAATCAAGGCAACCTGTGTGGGTAGGGTCATTCACCTGGTTTTAAAATAAAAAGAGTTTCTACAACAGCATTTGCTAGGTGAAGCTGCTCGCGAACTGGAGCTCGATCCCTCGCTCTGCTTTTTCTTTCGTTTTTTCCTTACTTTTACGACGTTCGTGAAATTGTTTGGTGGCGTTCAAGTACTATCCAGCCATTAGACTACCGTGTAGCTCGCCATAAGTGACAGTAAACTTTGAAAGGGAAAAGAGCTGAAGAACTGAATTTATGCTTACTTGTTTGATATTCTTTGTGGCCTATAATAGTTGGAATCAACTTGATTGAGATAAACCTTTTTCGGTGTACAGGTATAGTGTAGTACATTACTCATACAGTAACCATAAAGGCTGGTAAACTGCTTCCTACCCCCGAAAAACGGCAGAGCTACCTGGTAGAGTGGAAATACTTAAAACAATGACTAGCAAAACATGGTCCCCTTGACTATATATTAACACAGGAGAAACATGTCCCCTAACCGAGCCCTTAGGCAGAAACGGGGTATCTTAAGTTAGGTCCGTAGTTATGTCTAATAACCATAACTGAACTCATACAAGTGAGATTACCCGGCGTTCAATCAGTACATTTCCAACCTGCCTTAGTAAATGAATGCTATGAAGGTGAAAAGATTCACATCCTGGCCCTGGTTCGTACGGGAATTGTTGGTTCCGCGGATATCGAGGACTTTTCGATCGATAAAAAGACTCTGCTTCGCAGGCAACAAACCACGTAAGAGCCATGTCATTAAATATTATTGACTTACATTCATGTCTGTATCATTTGGTAAAAATTGCTCGTTTTCGGGCAAAAGATTATCTATCACGGGGTGTCGTCCTTGTTAGATATAAATATGAGATTCACAGTCCCTGAAACGGCCTGAAACGACACAAAAAAAGTTAACCTGAAGGAGATAGAAAATGAAATAAATTTCAGGAGCATGAACAAAACAAGGGATAAACTTAGTTTTTTTTATAGTGAAACCTCACAGTTCCTTTATCTCGTCGCTTTTCTTGTGGCCTGTGCCAGGCTCTCAAATAGTATGGAAGTCCCAAAAATAAAGCAAGCCAAGCGAAAAAAAGACGCGCGATCTCCACCGTTCCTTCTCGAGTCTCATATTCACCCCAGATTAACAGTAAATGCATAATCCAAGACAAAAAAATGGCCAGGCACTTTTTATTGAGAAAATTCTTCAGTTAACTTTAGAAGTCCTCACGACAAATGCATGAAACACACGGATATTGACTTATTAGTTAATTGTACTTGTACTAAAGCCAGTTGATAATAGAGACCTTGAGATTGTAAGACAAGGACGACCACGAGTTCTTAGTTGTGCGCATGACGTTTGAAGCTGTGTTATTTGAGCGGGAATACCTGACAATCATCGTCATTCTACAGTGGGTTTTAGCGAGAATGTCATACATGGTGGCGGAAACAAGTTTTCGAATGTTAAAAGTTTTATCATTCAGTTCGATCGGGAAAGGGCTTAACCTCCTTCAATAAAAATAATCTTGCTAAGGTTTCGGATGAAAAGAAAGTGAGCAATGAAGCTTTTCGAGGTTTTTTAGTTCTTGAGAATACGCGAAAACATTTTGTAAGCTAAATCTCCGCCATGCAGTCGTCCTCGCCCTCGAACGGCTAAGGTCTCTAATGTAATTAGCTTGTTAACGTCGCGCATCCAGAAACCAAGAGTCCTCGTTATCATTTAGGTATTTACAATATCTTATGACACTAAAAAACAGTGTGTTTTCCTTATCTACAAATACTCTTTGGTCCATTAATTAAGTTATATATGGCTGCAGTTCCTTATATTCCTCATTAAGACACATTGATTGTTTTGAAACGGTTATCTAGGAAAACCGTCAAAACACGTTAAGGGGTAGCTGAAAGAAACACGGAGACTTTGTTAGAGACTCTGGCTGTAAATTATTTGTTGAATTGAGTCGGTTGGTTTGTCCTCAGGAATCGATGGATGGCAGGAAGTGAAATATTTAAAACCAAAATGATCGTTACCCTGTTTTTAAGCTCTTTTTTTTAATTGGTGCATAACAGAGGGCTGCTGTCCAGGATATGTTCCCTAGTTTTTCCCACTTGTGCAAGGAAACAGGATACACCTCCCCTGGTGGAATTCTTATACCACTATCAATTGGAAATTTATTGATGATGAAATAAACCCTCCCATCTACTTCCACTGCACCAAGGTTGTTTTCTGGAATATGTTTTTGGTCAACGACCGACCACTTGTTGTTTTCTTCATCATACACTTCCACAGGTGCAGGGTTACCATGCGGTGAACCGTCGTAATTAGCATTAACTTTACCCCCTGCTACACACAGTTTACCGTTCACTACAAAAAGACTGGACCCAAAATGTGGGTGGCAGGTTGATGCTTTTTCTTCCCACACGTTTCTCACGTGATCAAAACAATGTAGCGAGGCATTTCGCACTAACCAACTGTTTTTAAAAAATCCTTTTCCATAAAGAACAAAAACATCAGAATGAAGTGCTGTGGCTCCACTATTGTAGAAGTACATCTCCCCCGTACCCTTGACGTTTGCAAAACTCTGCCATTGACCCTCAGACAAGCTATACCGCTGAGGAGGCTTTTGACAATCAAAACCAAATGTATACACGTAGTCTCCTACAGTACACATACTGCTGATTACTCCAACAGAGTGCGGGTGTGTTTTCCACACATTTCTTTCTAAGTCATAACAAGAAATAAAATCAGTGTTAGTGTTATTTGGGCGACCTCCGGCAACATACAAAGTATTACCAACTGTCTCTGCACAGTAATGTGATGTTCTTGCAGGTCTGCCTCCTTCCCCTGACTTTCCCAGTGGCTTCCAGATTTTAAGTTCAAAATCAAAGTAGTGAATATTTTGTCCAGGAGGAACAGCAACAAGGAGCTGAAGAGAAAGTTAAAGATTACTTAGTTAGGTCTCCTCATTTATCCTCTCTTGCGTCCGTTTTGGACGTCCAATCCAGCATTGGGGAAAAGCCAAAAACAGCAGTGGTGTGGGTTTTTAATGCAACAATAATTATCGTTGCTAGTTAATTCGTCGTTTTGAGATGACCATTTGAAGGTCAAGACAAGTCAAGATAATATTTATTTCTATGTCTTCTACTAAGAAGCACACCGGAGGGGAAAAGGGGCGAAGGAGGTGGTGGGGGAGGGGGGGGGGTGGTTCACAAGTCCCTTTTCCAACCCAAATTTTGTTCAAATTCCAGAGTACCATTCGACGTTTGGCTCAAATCCCATTCCCAGTGGCAAAGATGCGTGGTCAAATTCTAGTATAGCCTGCGTGCAGATGTTTTCCTTGAGCGACAAAGGAAGTAGGAGACGTCTGCAATTATACTGACATAAACAATCAAACCCCGCTTTACAAACACCCGCTTAATACGGACAGTTTGCTTTGTCCCTGGGGAGACAAAGCCCTTACATTTTCTCTAAATTTAACCGGTAGCCTGCAGTGCAGGCGTTTTCTTTGAGCTCGGCGCACGGGTTACTATTTCTACTCTCCCCTATCTTCCACTGTCATAAAATCAAAGATGGCGGCTACAACAATATTACGAACACGAACAAGGTTTCGCCCACCCAAAATACGCCTGCACTGCAGGCTATTTAACCGGCTAAACATGGACACTTTCTATGGTCCCTTCAGAGTCCGTTTCGACGGGGTTTGATCTGTACATGTACCAAAATCCTATTCAGTTCCAATCTTAAAAATACGGCAAATCCCAATTCCAATTTTACCCCCTTCGACTACCTCTTTTCTAACAAGGCTGTTTCATCTCTAAATTTAATTGAATATACAGTACATGCCGGGTATTCGCCAAACGAACAAAAGAAGTCTGTTATAATTTCGATTAATTACACTGTGTCGGCGAGAGCTGGTTACGATTCGCTGGGCGTTTTTAACATTTGTTGGATAAGTTGTCTCAAGCATAGGGAACATTAATTTTAATTAACATGGGCATCCAACGACTGTTTTCTGTAAAATATCTGTTCGGAGAAGCAAATATTGCCTAGAATTTTCTGTTGCTTGAGGGCGGCTACAAATTTCTAGATGACAGTTCCATTCATGTACAATTTTCGAAACTTATCTCATAAATTTCCTAAGATTTTCTGAGGATTAATTTTTCTCATTTCACTCCCCAAGAATTTAATTTTTTTTGTAAAAAAGGAAACCTAAAATTTTCGGATTCAAAAGTGTGATTTAGATAGGAATCACAAAAATTCTCACATTCGTAAAAATATAAATTGCGTCTAAAATTTTCGGGAAAATAATACTGAAGCTCTTGTAATTTCGAAAAAAGTCAAAGTCCCCTAGGATGACCAATTTTATAGCACCGCTTGGAATACATTTATAGAGATCTAAGAGTACTATGGATAGCCTGAAAAGTGTTTTCAACGTATTTAGGAGGAATCGTCATTGGGTGCCCCTGAATTAATTGACCATGGTCTTATACTACAATCAGGGACAAAAGTAGTTGACACACCAACCTCGCTCCCAGGGTAGGCGAAATCCCTGGGAGCGAGGTTGTTGACACACTTGTCTAACTGAAACGGGTGCTTTTATCATCAATTTAAAAGAAAGACTTGAGGGTCTAGAATACAACATTGATTTTGGGGGAGGGAGTGGGGGTACACAGGGAAAGGGGATAGGTACGTTCACTATGCAAAAAGGGGCCATTTTACAGAAGTGTCGTAACACCCTTGTCCCTTGTTGTAGCTTTCATATCGGACAGGTTGAGAGACATGCGGCTTTTAGGAGGGAAATGCTTGTTTCTATGGATTAATTCAATCACGTACATGTTCACCCGAGCGAAAAGCAATATCAGTTTGATTCTATTTGAAAGGGGCATATTTTTAGTTACATTCAAATAACTGTGTGATAAAAGCTTCACATACCTGACTCGTGGAACGCAGTTTGGATTTCTCTACTGCAAACTTCGAACTCACAGATGGCATGCAAGTGTGCAGAAGTGATTCGTGCAAAAGTAAATGAATCTCTGGAAATCGTTGCATCTCCTCTGTGTTCAGTTCTCGGATGACTTCTTTGATGTCCACCAACCCCAGTCGAACCGCTCCGATGACTCTAGCCGCGACTGTCATCCTCTCTTCCTTCTTGTGTTTGATCCACTGCATCACGGATGTGAAGACGAACGTCTCTGAAGGAGCACTGAGGTCATCTCGGTTGAGAAGGTTAGAATATTGATTAGCGTCAATAAGGGACAAGAATTCTTCATCCCCACAAACGTCCTTGTACATTGACGCCATCTTGAGTTGTGTAGCTTCTTGTAGGTCTATCAGTCCGTGCCGATCTGCAATGGTGCAGATCTGACAATGTGTCTGCACATCAAATCGAAGCTGAACAAACTGGGTTTGCAAGTACTCACAACACTGTTGAACAACACTTGTAACTTGGAGGTGATCGGCTGCGACAAGTACATCAAGTACGTTTTCATCATTGACTTGAAGATCGCCGCTGTAGATGGAATCCAACACGATCTTCAAGGCAGCTGCTGAAATGCTTTCATCTTTGAGTTCGATCACTTCCTGGTTTGACTCTTTCATTCCATGAGCAAACATGGCGTGGAAATAATCGCTACTGGCAGCGAGCACAATGCAATGAGCTGAGAAAACTTCTCCACCCACTTTTAAATAAACATCAATGAATTCACCTTGCTCTCGAAACTGCGCACACTTTGACAACAGAATCTCAGAATGGCCAACCATACTTAAATCAAAACAGTGAGTCTGTATGGAGGGGAATACTGGACAAGAATGTTATTGGATCGTACCATAAGGTGCATTATATCGAATTTGCCTGTATACTGTCTTACCGTACCCTGTATGCTGTTATGTTGTACTCGGTGATGTTGTATTGTAACCGGAACAATGTATTATCGTACTCGGTAACCTTATATCGTAACCAGAATGGTATTGTATCGTACTCCAATGATACCGTATATTAAAAGCAACAAATGATATATTAAAAGCACCCTATGATAGCAAGCTCAATATACATATACGGTTCACTATAATAATCATTTATGAAGTAACTAACTGCACAAATTGGAAAGCTGCTCACCATATTGCATAATTTCACCTTGTACGACTTGAAAGAAAGCTCGATATGATGCTATCGGGTACGACATAACAGCATCCCGGCTATAATATACGGTCGTGGTGTACGACGTAACAATTTCCTGGATACAATCTATGGTTACCGGGTACGATAAAAAATCACTCACGTTACGAGATAAGTTTACCGGGTACGATACAATATCATTCAGGTTACGATATCAGGTTACTGAGTTCGAAACAACAGCATACAAGTTACGATGCATGGCTACCGGGTACGATACATCAACATTGGGGTACGATACAATACCATTCTGGTTACGATATAAGGTTACCGAGTACGATAATACATTGTTCCGGTTACAATACAACATCACCGAGTACGACATAACAGCATACAGGGTACGGTAAGACAGTATACAGGCAAATTCGATATAATGCACCTTATGGTACGATCCAAGAACATTTTTGTCCAGTATTCCCCTTCATAAGTCTGACTCAGAGCGTAGCGGGAGTGCATGATCGCGTGACCTTAAATCTTATTAATTAAGTCATATAAAGCGTCACGAAAGTCCTGAATTCTTGAACATGTAAAAGCAGTCGTGTTCTGACTTGTTCAAAAGAGAATTTTGCTTTTCTTCTCTGAGTTGATGGGAAAGATTAACCTCTGTAAGGGCTTGTGGTTTCCATTGTCAACTTGTTAGTACCCCCATCTGCCACTCCAGATTAACGCTACACCCCCGTTTCTTTTCTACCATATAACGTCTTGATCTAGGTCAACTTGTTTTATTTCTTAAGGTTTACAAACTATTTATTACTAATGCTCCCAGGTGCTACGATAATACTAACATTATCTGTGTGTTTTGTATGCGAGTATCTGCGTGTATTGAGGCGCTAGACACTGAGTGGCGGATCCAGGGAGGAGAGGGAAGGGGTCCCGGAGTGCAATGCACCCATCAGACAAGAAACGTTTAGAGTATTTTAATGACTGAGTACACTGACCCTATCCTCGTGGCATTATTTACAGTTATCACAAACGAAACTAAAGGTCTCCAGTGGAATTCCGATTTTTCGAACCACCAGGGGAAAAAGTACGAGGTTCAAAGATTAGCAGGCTTGAAAAATCTGGGGTAAGATTTCGGCGTTTGAGTGGTAAATGGACGTCCGGTTTGGTTCGAGTTATCGGGAATTTCGAAAACCGAGTGTTCGAGAAATCGGGATACTACTGTACATTGCTTTTACTCACTCATATTCAATGAACCTTGGTAACTAAATACTGTCTAAAGGGCTTCTCTATTTCTAAGTTAAAATTACAGGAGTAACTGATTGTTCGTGTTAACCAGGTGCAAACGTTGTCAAAGAGTCCCTCAAGTTCTTAATAGATTCAGGAGTCACTGATGAGCTTGAACAAATGTCTTGAAAAATAGTCTTCATATAGCTGAGAAAGGAGAGAGAGAGGAAAAAAGAGAACTGACATAAAAACTTGCACATGTCGTAATAGGCGGGGTTATAAATTTATAACCCAATTCATCGTTAACAGTGATGAACATTAGACTAAGATACGGTAAATTATAGGGTTTTTTTTTAAAAGACATGGAGTTATTAGATTTCTTAATAGAAAATCGCTAAATATAAAAGCACAAGCCACACAGTTTTTACTAAACTACTCTTAGCTGTTCTATTCCAGTATCGGTTCTAAAATTTTAATCTAACTTCACTGATCATCAAATTTTAATCTAACTTCACTGGTCATCGTGATACAAACACTTCTCATATTGAGATAAACCAGAGATAAGAAAAAATTAAGGCTGGAAACTGAAGTGAGGGAAAAGGGAAAGCTCACAGAAGGAGATTCGAAACCATGTGACGGCGTGACATATGTTTAAGAAACCGCAACGGTAACAGCAAAGACAGCTTCAAAACATCAGTAGGGAGCTCTTGCATCACACTCTCTGGTGCTATTCTTCGTAGTCACTACACGACTCCGACAGGAAATTTGCTGAAGCGACTTTTACTTTTAGAGGACGGATACACTTGACAACGACTTTTTTTTCTATTCCTTAACAACTCACTAAGAGTTCAGAAAAATTGGCATGCTGTAAAAAAGTTACGAGAGTAAATAATCGTAATGAAGCTTCCTTAAAAGAATGCGACTAACTTTATAAGTGCTGTTTCACCGCCATTGCCCTCATGGCACTTATATAAACTCGCTATCACATCTTCATCACTTGCCTCTACAAAGGCCGCGCAGGAAATTGCTTATGGATATCAAAATTGGAATATTCAAAAGATGAATCATAGACTACCTACTGCCGATGCGTGATTTGATTTTCCAATTCGTGTGATTTTTTGGCGGCCGTGTTAAGGATTTCACTTGGAATTCCTGCCAGACGCGCCACATTCAACCCATAGCTTCTCGCAGCAGCGCCATTTACCACGTGATACAAGAAAGTGACTGAAGGTATAGACTCTCCCTCCCCTCCCTCAGGGCACTGTTGGTCACTCTGTTGCTCTTGTGACGTCATAAAGGCCATATGATTGTTGGTAACGTGCTTTGGAAAAGCTACTTCTAGCTCGGCCAGTGACGGATAGTGTGTTACAAATAGGGTCAGGCTGGACACCTATCGGCGAGAAAAAAAATTGACGAAATCGTTTTTGAATGCTTAAGAGCATGTCTCCGTAAGAACCGACCAGTGATTTCGGATCAAAAAATTAATTTTTCTCATATTCTGGGATATTAAAGTCTTAAGCTAATTAGTTACAAAAATGCATTTTGTTTGACCGAAAATGCGAAATATAATTTTTACGAATTTTTGAATTTTCAACCGGTTGGCACCGGCGCCATAGTAGCCTTTGAAACTGCAAAAATCACCTACATTGCCGGCGCTACAGAAAACAAACAACTCGTTCAAGAAGGCCTATTTTCTTTTTAATATACCAATACACCACTCTAGATGTCCTAGCCATATCACATTTCCGAACTATTTATTCATTTTAACGGCAAGAATATTTTTCGTGGCACGTGTTATCGACCTTTCATTAGAACATGAAAATAGCTCAACTTTGAGTATGTTTGAGGGCAGTTTAAAAAAGTGTGGCACCTGTCTGAATTTTGCTATCTGTATTAATACAAACTAGAAATGATAGTTAAACGTAAAAAGGAATAAAATTTTTGTGCTCTCAACGTTTTCGAACTTGACCGCCGTTTGAATTTCCAGAAATTTTGAAGACCTGATAATTAACGAACACTTGCCTTGTCGCCTTACTCGTTAAAGTCCAACTTCATTTGATGGCTTGATGGGTCTCACCTTAGCTCTTTTCCATTTTAAGGTTATTTCTTAATCATCTGAAACTATATTGGCGGTTGATTCCGTGTTTATACTTGTTTTGTTGCAATGTTATCTGGTTTGTAAAATGGTCGTATCCGCTAGCGTGACTAGTTCGTGACACCCGACCTCGAGGTCTTTGCTAAAAATAGTTTTTCATTAAGATCGACTCCTCAAGAAATGGCAGTAAAATTTCTTGGGCAAATAAAACTAATTTGTTCGCAAATGTGACGCGATAAGTCGGTAAGAAAGCGATTTAGCCCAGTTATGTATTTGAAATACTGTATGCGTAGTTGTATGCGTGACTTTGTATTTCAGTCCTCATCGACTGGACACGAAGCAGACAAGGGGTAGCAATTTCCTGAATTTCTTCAACAAAGTTTTCCTTCCCGGACTTGGGAAAATCTACCTGTAGAGATTTTCGAGCTTCGAAATATTCAGTAAGGATGTTGCAAAAATGACAGAAAGATATAACTTAAAATACGAACTAATATTCGTCAGGGCGGGTCCGTTCGTATGTGTGAGACATAATTGATCATTATTTGAGCTGCAACTGGCTCGAAACTGGCGCCCTTTAAGGACGTGTCAATATCTTCTTCATTTAGGAGCAAGGAAAAACTAAAAAATGATCATGGGTAACATCACTCAATTTTTGGAAGGACAATTCCCACTCGGTCAGGTAGGCTTTTTACTGCGCTACTTTGCGTTTGCACTAGCTTTTGAGGAACAAGGATTGGTACAGTTGGTTATTGCGCCGCCCGCTATGGGAGAAGTCCCGAGGTCGATCCCCAAATGTGACCTCCAATCCCTTTTTCGACTTCTTTCCCTTCCGTGTAGCTTTAAGTAGCTGTAAATACCGATAAAAAGGAGCATTAATGGGGGTTTAGAAGGGTGGGTGTGGGGCCCAGGTTTGGTACGAAGATAGTAAAGTCTATTTGGAGGTAAATGTCATAGTATTCTCAATGCCGATCAGGAGCTCATAACCTGTGCCTACTGAGTTGTCTAACAAACTGTAAATCCAATTGTACATAAAGAGAAGGTCGAGCGAAAAACCCTTGAAAACGTTTTCGTTAAACCTTGAAGCTATTTTCATATTTTGATGAAAGGCTGATAACACGTGCCACGAAAAACATTCTTGCCGTTAAAATGAATAAATAATTCGGAAATGTGATATGGCTAGGACATCTAGAGTGGTGTATCCGTATATTAAGAAGAAAATAGGCCTTCTTGAACGAGTTGTTTGTTTTCTGTAGCGCCGGCAATGTAGGTGATTTTTGCAGTTTCAAAGGCTATGGCGCCAAGGCCAACTGGCCGAAAATTCAAAATTTCGTAAAAACTATATTTCGCAATTTCGGTCAAAAAATGCATTTTTGTAACTAATTAGGTAAAGACTTTAATATCCCAGAATATGAGGAAACTTAATTTTTTGATCCCAAATCACTGGTCGGTTCTTACGGAGACCCGCTCTAAAGAGAGCACCCGTTCCCCATCATCTGTTCGCTGCCGTGGCGGGGAAAATAACCAAATACCAGCGGTGAATACCCTAACAGATAATTTAAGATTTAAGTTCCCCCTTGTTACCCCTGTTACCACTTGTTACCCCTGTTCCCCTTGTTACCCCTGTTAGCCCTGGTTGCCCCTTTTACCCTTGTTACCCCTCTCACCCCTTGTTTCCCTGTTACCCCATGTTACCCTTTGTTACCCCTTGTTACCCCTGTTCCCCTTGTCACCCCTGTTACCCCTTGTTATCCCTGTTACCCTTTGTTCCCTTTTGTTACCCCTTCACAAGGGGTAACAGGGGTAACAAGGGGTAACAAAGGGTAACAAGTGGTAACAAGGGGTAACAGGGGAAACAAGGGGTAACAAGGGGTAACAAGGGTATCAAGGGGGAACGAAGGGTAACAAGGGGTAAGAGGAGTAACAAGGGGGAACAAAGGGTAACAGGGGTAACAGGGGGTAATAACGATCTTTTGACTTGCACGAAGAAGATCCGGCTTATCTCTCGTACACTAAACTGAGTAATGGATAGGTTTTGATAGAGCGTCTACCGACCTCTCCCAGGTGAGATCGGCACACAGTTTCAGCAAGATATTGCGTTTGCAACTGCTGTTTCAGTCTAGAATATGAAATCACGGAATTAACGTCTAGAACACATACCTTACTAATAAAGTGATGCAGCGTAGCATAAGCAATGGCCGTACCATCATGGGTACTAGTACCCCGGCCCAGCTCATCCAAGATAACCAGTGACTTTGGAGTGGCCTGGGCAATAATGTCCGATGTTTCCTAAAACGGAAGAGAATCAAGTTTACAATCAGCTAGCATTCTCAGCAACAAGTCTCCTACTTTACTGTTAGTTTGCCAAAACATGACTCAAAAAAAACATCTTACTTTTTTCCATTCTTAATCTTCATGAATACGACCGCAAAGTAACGACGCGATAGTCATTAATAAAACTCAAGAACTATTCACCTTCACCTCCAAACTACAGTAGGAGGACTCGTGCAACCTTTTGTCAGGTTTGGCAAGACCCAACAGTTCGTTGTTTCTCTTGGCGATTTTAGTTATAGTAAGGTGAAATGTATGTAAGTACCTGAAGTTCGACCATAAACGTGCTCTGCCCTTTGTAAATGTTGTCTGAAGCTCCCATCCTGTAAAGCATGCAGTGACAACTATTTCAAACACTACTGAAGAATAACTCCTCGCGTTCTACTTATCATTTGTCATTAAAACCGCTCCAGAAAGGACTAACATATCCATTTATACGAATAAAATATGAATGTGAGGTAAATTTTAGCCTTTCATTTGTTCTCTATTATTTCTAATGATAATACCTGGTAAAAACCGCGTCCAAAACTCCAACTTTCGCCTCCTCGGCAGGAACATAAGAGCCGGTCTGGGCCAGAATTACAATCAAGGCAACCTATGTGGGGTAGGGTCAGTCAGGTTTCAATTCTAATAAAAAGCGTTTTCTACAACAGCACTTACTACCTTATCACAGCGACATGTTGTCAGGTATATGGGTGGCGAAGCTGCACGCGAACTCGAGCTCGCTCCCTCGCTCTGTTTTTCGTTCGTTCTTTCATTACTTTTACACGTACGACGTTCGTGAAATTGTTTGGTGGCGCTCGCTTCAGAAGGACAAGATTATTTTAAGTACTATCCAGCCATTAGATTGCCTTAACGTTCGCCATAAGTGACAGTAAACGTCGAAAAGGAAAAGAGCTGAAGAGAACTGAATATATGCTTACTTGTTTGATATAAGAGCTCTTTCCACCCATGTTCGGTCCAGTAATCATCATACAACGATTATCATTTACCTGAAAATAAGTGAAACTACAGTAATTATTCTTTGGAGACAAACCTTTTCCGGCGTACATGCAGGTAGTGTATTAAATTACTCGTACCGGGTAGAGTGATAATACTTAATACAATGATAAGGAAAACATGGTCCCCTTGACTATATATTAACACAGGAGAAACATGTCCCCTACCCGTGCCCGCGTAGGCAGAAACGCGGGGTACCTTATGTTAAGTCCGTAGCAATATGTCGCTTAACAGTTATGTCTAATAACCATAACTGAACTCATACACGTGAAATTACCCGGCTTTCACTCAGTAGATCTCCAACTTGCCTTGGTAAATGAATTCATGAAGATGAAAAGGATTCACACCCTGGTCCTGGAATGAAAGACTCTGCTTCACAGACAACTGACAAAACAAGTAAGAGCCAGTTAAACAATGGTGACTTACATTCATGTCTGTATCATTTGGTACAAACTGCTCGTTTTCGGGCAAAAGATTATCTATGACGGCGTGTCGTCCTTGTTTGATATAAATATCAGATTCACAGTCCCTCACAAACGGCCTGAAACGACGAAACAAAAGGTTAACCAGAAGGACATAGAAAATGAAAAAAAAATTCAGAAGCCTGAACAAAACAAGGGATAAACTTAGTTTTTTTTATAGTGAAACCTCACAGTTCCTTTATCTCGTCGCTTTTCTTGTGGCCTGTGCCAGGTTCTCAAATAGTAGGGACGTCGCAAAAATAAAACAATCTACGGTAAGCGAAAAAAGACGCGCGATCTTAAACAGTAAACGGTACTGTACGGTTGCAGTACAGGTAAAAGCATACGGAAACCAATTCGAATTGGTTGAAATTGGTTGAAACCGTTTGAACGGAACTTTAGATCACCTTACCTTACAAAACCTGGTTGCTTAGCAACAGCAGCCAGAGAAAACAGACAGTCGAGAGTGGCGATACAATGAACAGCCCGGCGATATCTGGAACATCCCTCTGAGAATAGCGCTAAAAATTCCAGCCACGCCTCCTGAGCTGCGATAGACAGCTGTTCCCTCCACTGACACAAGATCTTGAACTTTTCTTCAACAAAAGGTGTTCTGAATCGCGATACTTGTTTAGTGCTAGTAGATACAAAAACATGCAATCAAAGACCAAACCAACTATTCATAAAGTAAGAAGTTAATGAGTGATGTGTGAAAAGACTTATTCCACGAAAAAAAAAGATGACATGAACTGTCGGTTGAGGAACTGGACCAATCTTAAGCGGGGGGAGGGTGACTAGTACAAGAGGGCTATGTACGGGCCGGGGGGGGGAATGGCGGGGCTGAATAAGGCCGCCATGCCTGAACTGTGATAGTGCTAAATTCCAATTACCTTGCAATTGGAGAAATCTAATCATGTCACGTGTTAAAGGGCCCTGAGACACAATGTCCCAAACCGGCCAAATTTTGCCTTCAGAACCACGTCAGCGTGCTTACATAATTATAGTGGTCAAGGCCGCAGTTGCAGCCGAAAGCTCTATTATCTTTGCTCGAGATTGATCAAGATTCGAGACTACAGTTTACTGATTTCCTTTATAGAAACACGTCAACTTTCATCTTCCTAAGATGACCTCATTTTTGAACGAATTCCTACCCTGTAATTCAAGCTTGCCACAATTTAAGGAACTTCCAACGTTGCCGAGTTAAAAAGGTATTTTTATTTGCTCATCATTCGCACTGTAAAAGAACAAACAGGTTTTCGCGCGTAGTAAGATGCAAAACATAACTAACTATACTTACGCGCTGATTTTAATCCAGTCAGAAGGTACCATCCTCAAATTTGCATTTCTAACTTCAATTAAAAACTGAAAAAGACAGTGACTTTCAAAATGAACAAAACGGAAGAAAAACATCTATACTGCAGCTCTTTGTGAGATAAATTTATATTATACACCAAAACCATATTATATATTGCCTGGTTTTTCTCAAATACAAATGGTTTAAGGGAATTAATCAGATTTACAAGCTGATTCATGAACTGTTTTAATACAGTAGAATGCTGCTATCTAAACAGTTTTACCATTATGCCAAACATGGCCGTGTAGATTTTTAAAGTTTGATGACATTCATGATAGCGGAGCTCCTCGCGCGCGCAGAGCGGAGCACCATGGGTAAGAAAATTTGGTAAACTATCCATCTGAGAAAATTTGGTTATGACGTAGCGTACGCCCGCCCGCCCACCCGTACACACGCTTCATGTAAGCCGATGTCAAATGTCACAATAGATCTTGCACAACTAGAATAGAGTACCGAAGTGATGACGTCATAAAAATGAAATTTGTGAAATTATGGGATTTGTTATGATATTCTGAAAGAACAACGTCCAAGACACCTACTCGCCAAAAATTAGCAATTAGGGGCAAATTGTCTCTGAGATATTAGCCCAGTTATGCTGTGACGACTCCATACAAATCCTTCTAAATTTGGCTTGGTTCATAAGATTAGGAACCAGGTAAGGTTTAGAAGGATTTGTATGGAGTCATCGGAGCATAACTAGGTTAATATCTCAGAGACAATCTGCTCCAAATTGCTAATTTTTGGCGAGTAGGCGTCTTGGACGTTGTTCTTTCGGAATATCTTAACAAATCCCATAATTTCACAAATTTCATTTTCTATGACGTCACACTTCGGTACTCTATAGCCTCTTAGTTATGTAAGCTATCCGTATGAGTACGATTAGATTGACAGCTGTCAAAATTAGGCATCCGCTGACAATTATCACATGACTATCTCGCGGGCTCAGGTGAAAGACCCGTCGTTTTGCCCCTACATATAAGCTGATATAATATGTCACACTTACCAATTCAAGATATATTGGCAAGCCAAATTAAGGTCAATTGACAGCTGTCAAAATGGTATGGCATTTTCCACTACATGCCGGACGGATACGTCTTACTCACACTCGTAGTCTGTTAATTCGAATATTCGCCATTCTAATGAAGGTCAATTGACAGCTGTCAAACTAGAGTATACGCTGACCATCATCACCTGAGTGTATCGCGGGCTCATTTGTCTATCTATTGAGGTCACGTAGTGTTTAAAGTTTTGCGCTGATATTTTATTTGATCACGGGCTCAATTCGAAGTCCCTAGCTTAGAAAGTCGATCCAAAAATTCGGCAATCACGTGACCGTACACCGACCACCCGACCTTCCGTCCGTCCGCACCATAGGTATACCAATGTTTAATCTCATACTATCTAGCTAGTTTGGGAGCCTGCAACGTGATATTGTACATCCATGTTTTGATTAATTGACAGCTGTCAAAATAGTGTTTCTGCTGACCAGTATCGCCTGACCCTATCGCAGGCTCAGGTATCGACCCACTGAGTTCGAGTGTTTTCTTAACGTATCCGCTGACAGTTTGCTACTTTTCAATTATCGCAGGCTCAAGTTCAATTTTTTTAAAAAGCATATGAAATAAGTCGAGTTCATGGGCCGCACTTTTAAAATGTTGATTTCGAACTGACCTCGGACGCGGAAATTCAACCGGCTTTTACATTTACCTGCGGGGAAGGCAATCACTTTTGACTTTTCTCACTGTCACGCGTTGATCACGCTCTACGTCCAATTTTTATGTTCTGATTGGTCAAAATTTGACAGGTGAGTTCATGCGGAAAATTTATGCAGCGTCTGGAAACTTGCTTACTGATAGCTGGAGCTTACAGACTTTTGTATCATCTTGTGATGTTTTAAACTGGCTTTTTCTACTTGGTGTACAAAATGAAATACAGCTACTATCAAGATTGTTCTGTAATTCGTGGCTGGTTTGTTTATTGCGCTTTTTGTTGACAAATGCACCGCTTGTCAAAGTCATTGGAAATCCGATTTCGGATGGCATCGCGATCGTTTTCAAAAATGAGCTTACTCACTTGCCCTTGCTTGAGGCAGCTTGAGGCGTAAGAGGGTTGAAAATTCTGGAACACTTGATGACCTTCAGAAGCAGCATCTCGACTGGTAAGCCTGAGAAACTGTTGTCTTTGATGTGTTTTTTTTTTTTCGGTTTCCTGAAGTCGAGCGTATGGTTTATGCGGCTTAAGTTTATACACGAACAATGATCTAACCTACAATAGTATGAGGTTTAAAAAGCCTTTAGACATTTTTTTGACCGCAAATTCAAAGAAAATGTTCCGAAGATAATTTAGTTACGATTTTGGCTGTAAACAGAAAGCTCTGAGCGATTTTTTTGCCTCGAGTTCATCTTGAAAAAGAGCAAACACCGGGAAGCCGGCTTAAAACATAAATAAGCTTATACTTACGTACCTGACTCATGATTTTCAAAGACACTTTACTCTCAATACTTCTCTTCGTGAATGAAAATTATCGTCTCTGTACATGTTTCACCGAATTATATTTATTTTATTGATTGTTAGTAGTCCCTCTCGCATTTTTTATCGCTGCACCGGTTGTATCCAGTCGAACATAAACATCTCATGCAGGAATACTCAAAACGCCGCACGTAAATATCACTCGCTTTTAAAGATTACACATGACAAAACCATACGCAGTTTAATAAATAAAGGGAAATAAAGCCTAAACATAACAATTTATCTATCATGTTGAAGCGTAAATGGTAACTCTATTAATCGCACTGCAAGTTTGGTGCCTGTCAAAAGAGAGCCCCGTCCGGCTGGCCGAAAAGTGATTTTGGGAATTTTTTTATCGTTTTTATTAAAAACCCATAGTACCCTGCATATCACATAGGACCAGATTTTTCTAACTGAAAGTCCTGGCATTATAGAATTCTCTTCATGAAAACGTTTTATAATTCAATGCCATAATTTGTTGTGCAAAGGAAGCGCGTGCTTTGATCGTCGTGGATATTGAATGAGTGCAAATTCTCTTGCAAAGTTGTGAAAAAAATGCAGAATTATAGGTTTAATAGGGCCAAAAAGAACAAATTCTGTCCGAGGTCTGTATGATAAAAACAAGGGCCTCAATAGTACTGTTTACCTGGGACGTGATGAGAAAAAGTATGTTTAAAAGGCTGGTTTACACGCCACCAGATTCGTCGCCAAGATTTACTAGTAAACTAAACTTGTCGAACACAAAAAATCCGGCCTGATTTTTTATTTTGGCCTCTCTTTTAGACAGAGGAATGCAACGTGTAAATAGGCTGCCACCAAGGACTATCGTGGCGCAATTATATTTCGGGGTTGTCCAATTATCCATAGTCTCTCAAACGGAGCAATGTTGGAGAGAGTCGTGAATGCCAAATTATGATCCAACAGCTAATGCATATACAATACACGAATAGGTAGGTCTATTTGTTTTCCAGGCCTAATCTACTGTGATCGAACATGATTGCTATTTTTGGGTGTACAAATAAGACTATTTAATAACTCGATGTAAAAGCTGTTTCACTCTAGGACTGTCAAATTATTTTTCTCTAAAATCACTTAGCCTTTCAGCCTCAAACGTCATATGAGTGTGCCCTGATCTGTGGATTATAAGTTTATTGTTTGATTTAAATTGTGAATTTATAAACGGGAGCTTCGCTTTTAGCCCTGGCTAAATCTATATATTATTCAAGTTAGCCAAAGCTGACTAGGCGGTACTAGTTTAGTAAAGGATGCAAAGCATCCCTTAGCAAAACACAGGTACTATTCTATAACACTTCTTTTTCTGCTAACTAAGGATAAGTCCTTCTTCCTAAACGTCTCTGATACCTCATTTCCTGAAACACAACAGTAGTCCAGTGATGGATGGCGTAAAACTTGTCTGAATTCAGATCGATGGCTTTTCAACTCTGCGATAATCCTGTCAATTTCCTATGCGCCAAACAAAGATGCATGCAAACATTTAAATCACAGTTAGTCTCAAACAAAAAAGGCGAAAAGAGCTGGACTTTGGCCAGGCTCAAACGTCGAACTTTACATGGCCGCAATGTAATGAACGAGAATAATTAACAATATTATT